ATTCCAAATTTTTTTACAAATTTTTAAAATATTCCAAAAATTGAGGCCAATGACAAAATTTCTTCAATAATGGCTATAAGAGAACCAAACAACAAGGCTATCCATCTTTCATGGTTGCTTGCCAAAAATTTAGTCAAAATTGGCTAACACAAAATTTGTCATTAAAAAAATTTCTTTTGATACATATATATAAAAATATATATGTATAAGCATTTTATATAAGCGTTACATAAGCATTTTTAATTTGTGTAAAAGTTTCACCTGATTTCTGATTAGGAATTACTTACATTACTTTACATTAGGAAAATTTTGAAGGGAGTTAAATTTGGCAAATTGCTAAATTTTGGTGATTGGCAAATGTTAATTTGGCAAATTTGTGGCCACATGCTATTGAGCATGTGTATAATGGCTCAAAATGGTGGATTTTATTTTGGCAAATGGCTATCAAAATGCCAAATTTAATTCGTTCCAAAATTTCAGCTATACAGTATATAAGAGCACAGAGCGGAATTCAACCTTTGAAAGGACCTTAGGCAAAGCACAAAGGTTTTAGCTTGGTCCCCACCCCTTTTAAGGCCCTTTGCAATATTGAATTTATTTATATGTGACCATAATTGACAAAAGGTACCTTATGGCGGGTAGTGAAATTTGTCTTCCAAGCCTAAAAAATCCAACTTCCTGAGCCCCATTTATCATAAAACTACTCCACAGGATGCAAAAAGTTACCATGAAACTTTTAGAAACAATTATTTTCTGACAAAGCACTCACAGGTTGATATTTTCCATTATAACGATGAATTTTAAAATCCACCATAAGGGCCCTTTTGTCAATTATGGTCACATTTATATTTATTTTTATTTATATGTCCACACTTACATTTTTTTCTATACAAGTTTCATCACCTCATGAAGCATGACTTTTGTCCCAACCTACAGATGTACAATAAGAAAGAAACATATAGCATATACTCTACAGTCTACATTAATTTCACTGAAGTTATAACTACAGTTACCACCAACCACCATTTTACTGGGTGTGACTTGGGCATTGCATGCATTTAAGGAGAAAGTGGCAGAGTATGGTAACTTTTTTCCCCTTTTACCTTCTACCGAGGGTTGGTTCCTGGCGGAAACTATATCCATTTTTAAATGTTCTTATTATCAATGATTAAACAAGTGAGTACTGATAGCTAATAATAATGGTAACCATAGCAAAAAAGTATATACTATTACAATACATGAGGTAAATGAGAAAAGAGTTAATAGTGTTCTTGTGACATAGTTATTGTTGCTTGAAACTTATGTCTTTAACATAGCCATTGTTCTTATTGTATTCAATATTCATTGAAGGCGTTCTCAGCAAATTTGATTCCATTTCTGCAGATAATTCTGTGGAGTCATCAATATCAAGAATTTTCAGGATGATGTCTTTCGAGAGCTTAAAGATCTTCTCAGTATCATTGCTGGCAATTGCATTTGTGCTAACTTCGAATTCATACTGGCGGTCTTCAATTGATTGAAGAACATTGCAACTCGAACACCTAACAATTGTATGAAAGTTAGCACCAAACAATACATTATTACTACAATGAATGCATTTTAGGTGAATGCAAAAGTTTTGCACCTCAACTATTTTTGCATCAATTAGCATTTCAAATTTTTCTTCCTCTGCATCAACTGGTATGTTTTCTTCATCGATATTGTAAGTACTATTTCTTGTAAATGTTAGACTTCTTATTCCTTGATAGCTTCGTGTGTATAAGCTTTGAAACTTATACATCTTCGTTACCTGAAGCTGATTTACATTGTCTTCCCAGATTGACAGACCAATTGTGTGGCTGCCATCACAAAGTAAAACATCTTGTACCAGTCCTCAGCTCAAGGAGGTTCTGTGGATAATACTTTTGCTCTTAAGTGGACCATGACGCCGTCTTCTAGCTCTTGTATTTGACTTATGGTTCTTGTCTGAAAGAGAGTATGTTTCACATCTATCTTTTTAGTTGACTCTTCACAGTATTACGATTGATAAAAACTTCATCTTCTTTTTCTCCAGGTTTCAGTGTACAGTTTCTGATGGAAACGGACTGCCCTTTCATCTGATATGAGTTCAATGTCTTATTTGATTCGCTGTCAAAGCCTATGAAACGTAAGCTTTTCTGTCCGTCACTGCCTACACCAACATAATAATTATTGCCTTTTTTAGATTTTTTCATAGGAGACAGAGACTGGATGGCACACTCAACACTAGTGGTTGCCGATGAGGATTCACCTTCATCCTTTGAAGTTTCACAAAGTTTTCTCTTCAGAGACATTATAATTATCTTAAACTTTATGATTTTCTTTTTTAACTTTACTTCATTTATATAATTTTTCTGGATACCACATTGATGATGTAGCATCAAGCTGATGTGTCAGGAAGAGATTGGCTAGTGGCTTCCTCTTGGAGTGGGCGTTGAGAGTGGCTCATGATGTGGACTCAAGAAATTGAAGTAACAAGTGACATCACTGCTTTGATTGCATCTCTTCAAATTCTGGTTGCCACATCAGTCAGTTTGCATAAGCTTACGTGGCATCCAGGATTTAAAGCCACATCAGCTTTGATTAGAGCCTCTACATCATTGCATCAGAAGGTCTATAAATATAGCTACATTCTTTCTTAGCAAGAATCTTCCTTACATTCCTTGATCACTGTTATCTATAGCAAGTATAATATGGAACCTGCTGTAAAAATGGAAAAAGTATTTTGTTGTTTATGTACCATAATAACTATATTCCTCTTTTGTTTTTGGCCAGTTGGATAGAATCTTAGCTTTGGAGAAGGAAGTGTCTCAATTAAGTGAGCAGATTAAAGTCTATAGTGACCAGAGAAGATCAAAAATATCTGAAATTATATCATTAAAAAGAGAACTAGTATGTTCTTTGTACAGTTGAATTACTATACTACATTCCTTTATCCAGGGCCTGCTTCCAACTTCAGATTCAGGCAAAAAAAGGAAGTATATAAGGAAATAAACTTTGAAAAGACTTTCCTATCTATAATGTACACTGTATTCATTTAATCACTTCATTTAACAAAAATAGAGCCAATTTGATAAAATTTATTGAAAATTATGTTGTATTGAGAATAATGTAGTAACAAAAATTTACTAAAAATGCAGAATTATAAAACACAAAATTAAAAAAGTCATTAGAAAAAGTATGAACAATCCAAAAAATGCTAACCTGACTATGCATGTAATTCATTGCAACTTTATTCCAAGTACAATACCATTGAATCCTATTCAAAAATAGATATTTCATTAAAGCATTTAACAATAAGAATATACCTAATTTACCACATTTGTAGCAGTATTTATGACACCATGTCTGATGGGAAAAACTGCCACACCATTTAATGTGGTGAAAAACCTATCAAACTTCTGAACAAAATGTAGTAACGTATATAAATGTATAGTTTACTTTGAACAAATTGCTATTACATTGACTATGACATTGTTAAATTGTTAAGTATTATTGAATTCTACAATAAAATTTTAATTAAATTATTTGAAATTATATTATAGTTTACATACCACATTTGCATGTCCTTATATTATTTTCCACTCTTTCAATTATTGCAGTAGCCATATTGGCGAAAGAGGGTTCTTCATTTAGGGGACCTGGGCCCTTCAGGTATCCCCTGGGAAAAACCACCACGCCATGTAGTGCGGTGGAAAACCCATTCAACCTTTGCACATCTACATAATTATTAATGAAAAATGTGGTACTAACACATGTGTACTTTAATTTCTTTGGACCATAAAAATGAACCAAGCAAGTACAGACCATCACAGGAAGGAGGAGGAGGAGGAGGAGGAGGAAGTGCTATTATACAAAACAAGTAGTATATTACATTTAAGAAATTTATTACATACCTTTTCAGCAAAATTAGAAACCATTTACCCCTTCCATTAACAGTTTGCATTTCTTGATTCATGCAATGTAGCAGAGGTGGATGGACTATAATTTGTATTAAATATTCCTGATAATATCAATAATACAAATTAATGAGCTATGTTAAAGAGCAAAAACTTACTTAATTGTTATTTAGAGTGAATGCATTTTGTGTGTGAATGTGTGTATAATGTTGATGGTTATCAGCCATGTTAGGGAGGTACTAAAACATTAATTTCTCATCCCTACATTTTCGGGTGCAACAATTTCACAAGGGAATGGATAAACTGCCGAACCACCAAAACGGCTTACTGTTCATATATCCCTGTATTAAAGGGTAACTCAACCCAAAAACTTTTTTCACAGAAATAAGTTGGTAATAAAGAAAAAATCATAGGAAAAATAAGTAAAATTATCAAAAAGTACTGTTTCCATACTAAATCTTGGGTCAAAAGTTGCAATTTCTTGCCTTGCAGCCATTTTGTCAAAATCACTTCCGGTTGTGGTTGTGGTCACGCGATGACATACATGGGAGAACATAAGCAAGTTTCTGCATTGAAATATTAGCAACTTCAAGGCTGGATATCTCAGCTATGAGTGCAAGAAAGCAGCTAAGAGGTATTTTTCAAGTATTAAGAGGTATTTTTCAAGTATTAAGAGCTTAACAGAGCTAGTATATACAGTCAAAATTTAAATTTGTCAAAATAATTTTTTTTTAAATATATTGATTTTTTTTCACCAGTATTAATGTTTGTAGTAAGCTTTAGATTAGTCCTACATGGTCCACTTGATTAAAATTGCTTTCTTGCATGCATAGCTGAGATATTCAGCCTTGAATTTGCTAATATTTCAATGCAGAAACTTGCTAATGTTCCCCCATGTACGTCATTGCGTGACCACACCCACAACCGGAAGTGATTTTGACAAAATGGCTGCAAGGCAAGAAATTGCAACTTTTGACCCAAGATTTAGTATGGAAACAATACTTTTTGATAATTTTCCTTATTTTTCCAATGATTTTTTCTTTATTACCAACTTATTTCGGCAAAAAAAAATTTTGGGTTGAGTTACCCTTCAATATCAGTATTTGTACAGTGAAACGGTATGTTACAACAAACAATGTCGTGATCACAGTAATAGCAATCAATGACAGTGCAAACAACATCAGATAACAAACTATTAACATAGACATGATCAATCAAGGTCCCCCTATCTGTAGTAGGAGTCTTTACCATTTGTTTGAAATTATTATCAGTCAAAAAACTTAATAATCTATTAGGATTATTGGCCAACAAATCTTCATTAAAGTCTCCAATGACTAATGTTGGCAAAAATGAATCAATTATATTAAATAATTGTATCAATACATGAAAAAGATTTTGCAGTGGAGCATTCGGTGATCTGTATACTAAAATAATATTGATACAAAAACTATTACTCAGGTCAAGGGTTGTCACTAATGCTTCAATACCAGGCCTATTAATCTTATTAGTATTTCTAGGATGCATATGCTCTGGCATAGACAATAGTACACCCCCATGGCTATTATTTATAGATATGTCACACCTAATTACACTGTGCCCTTCTCTCAATAAAGGTATTTCTTGATTTTCTGTTAGCCATGTTTCACACATGGCAAATATGGAAACGTTTGATAGGCTACTGTCAAATTTTATATCTGCCAAATTAGCTATTACTTATCTAATATTTACAAGTGAAATTATAGTTCCACAACTAGAAATAATGCTGTGCGGTATATCAATTATTTTATTTTTAAGACGCTGCATTTCTTCATCTACTTTCTCAATTGTTTTAATTGCAGATGGGTTAAAGCCAATAATATACAAGCCCTCTAATCTTTTTACACGGCTAAAAGTGACATATGCATGCCCAGGATTAAAATTACTGCTTTGTTCCATATCTACTACAATTTCATTTAAAGTTTATCCCTGTATATTATGAATCGTACTGGCCCTAGCAAGTGCTAAAGGAAATTGGTATCTAGTTACTTCAGCTCCTTTTTTCCCAAATGCAAAAAACTTAGCTTGTACCTTACCAATAGGGACTGCATCATTGAATCTGTTGCGGTATGGACTGACACTAATGGCTTCTTTTCCTACATTTGAATCATCAAATTTAATTAGGATTTTTTTAACTTGAAGATTGTAATTTTTTATTATTGCACCACTTCTCCTCTAGCTCCATTAACCAGGCCATCACTCACATTAATATTTATAGTCAACATCACTCTAGCACCAATTGCTAAAGTAAGTACGTGATGCAAATTTCCAGTTTCGGACTTCTTTTTAGAAAGTTTAGACAAATCAAAGTCATCAGTTTGACTAGTTTTGAAATCATCTGCTTTTATTGCATATTGATCGGATTCACTGGCCAGTGAATTTAACATGTACTTGTTCTTTTATCTACACTATCATTGCTCCTATAAACATGAAGTGCATGCATAGGATAATCAATTGAGTCAGTTGTAATCTCACGACTTTCTAAGACTTGTATGTCATCATTAGTACAACTACCTGTTCTCACTCGACCAAGCAATTTGTATCTCCCCTTTGACGCATGACCTCGTCAAGCTCAAGCATTTTGAAATTTTCTTTCCATAATGATCCAGAGCCATACAAGCAAGCTAGGCTGCTTTGTGACATCATTCCAAATAATGATGACTG